AATTTCCTTATTTTGATATAAGCTTTTATAATAATATTATTTCACAATATAATATACTATTAACTTATATAAAATAGTTAAATGCCTTTAAGTTTTTTTTTATATAATTTAATATATAAAATTATAGCTAAGTATAAGTAGTTTAAACTAATAAGAATAGTAGTTTAAAGTTATTTAAATACTAGGAGTAAAATTTAATTTATATTACTAGTCCATATATATAAACTACAGGTAAAGGGACGTAAATAGATCTATATGATTGTCATGTGGATAGACCCTTCTCTCCTCCTTTCTTTTCACTCCATTTCCTTTCGGAGCTCACTTAGGAACGGAAGACGCACTGGACACTGATGCCAGCAGCAAAGTACTGACCGGCACCGGGAAGGAATCCAGAAACAGCGGCAGCAACCTGGGTAAGCTTGTCGCAGCCCTTGCCACCTAAACCCTCGGAGGAAATGCGTGCCTGGTAGGCATCGGCACGGAGAGATCCATCAGGGTTATAAACATTGATACGGATAATACTGGGTAACCAGGCTCCAGGCTTAGAGTGTTCGCATTCCATACCGTGTGCAGGGCAGTCGTCGTTCTTGGGGCATTGGACTCTAGCAGAGGGACCGCAGGCGGCATTCTTATTATTCGGCACGGACTCCTGCCACGTCCAGCCGTAGCAGTCGCTGTAGACAGTGTAGGCATTACTGCCCGTGGTGCCGATAGTCCTGGCCGTCTCCCACATAGAGTGGATTAGGGCGTCGCGCATCTGCCAGCCGCTGACACCAGAGACAGCACCCCACTGGCCGTCGAGGATAAAGCGGTCCTCAATATTAGGACCCTCGTTAGGTTTCTGGCAGAATTTATGCCAAGCGCCGGTAGTGGTGTCAGAGAGACCGCCTCTATCGTTACTAACGTCGTACATACGCTGCCAGAGGGCATGGAAGTAGTCCACGTCACCAAGGTTGATCATATTATCGGTGTACATGGCGTGGACCTTGAACTTTCCATCATTACGCGCCTGGAGGCCCTTAGGAGCAGAGGCCTCCTGACGAGCAGCCTCCTCCTTGACGGCTTGGAGCCAGTGCTCGCCGTCGACCTTGAACAAGTCGGTGAGGACATCGCGGTGCTCGGGCTGCGGAGCAGCCATGGCCAGGGGAACAAGTGCCAGGGCGGCAAGATAGCTTGAAGTGAACTTCATGATGGCAAGATGGAGAGAGTAGACTCAAGAAGAGAGAAGACAGCAGAGAAGTGTTTCTGTTGAGAGTTGCTAAAGAGCTGCTTGAGGGTGTTTGGTGAGGAGAATTCTGAAGCAATCGACGGCGAGATGAACGCACCTTTATACTTGCCATCATATTGTTCAAATCGGCATATCCCTCGTCATTTCGCCACGTGGACTTGCGAACCGGATGCCATTCAGGTGCCCTGGTCCTCATCCTTACTCCTGCGTCGGCACAAAAGTTCATCAACCCCCACGATCACGTCTAGGAAGCTTCGTCCCATTCCAGGATGAAGCTGGCGCAGTGGGTATCACGAAAATCATCAGGGTGCCTGTTGGGGGTTTCGCGTGACTTCTCTTGTGATGATGCACGGAGCATGAAGAAGTAATCACAGAACCCTGCCTGGCAATGTCATAGCATCTCCAGCCGTAGTAATTGCGAAACACCGGAACACCTGCGTACAAGTCCCTGTGCGGTTCAGTATCGCTGGTCGTTGTCGTGATGGTCAATGTGACAGGTTCGATAGACCGTTCCAGGTTTGGCAACTCGTTGTCTCTCCCACTCGGCTTCTGGAGAAGCTCAAACCGAACTACGGGGGTATGGATGGGCGGGCGGCTTAGACACTGATGGCTCGGCCATATTTTACAAGTAATTCGGAGCGGGCTCGAACTCTACCGGTGCTCAGGCCGCCGATCTTGCGGTACAGCCCGTAGCCAAGGGCTTTGCATCCTACCTCCTCTCCTTGTCCATTGTCCTGCTCTGCGTTGGAGTCAACAAAGCCCCGTCACTCATCTCAAGCCAAGGAGGAGGCCGGATCATCAGCGATAGTGTCTAGATTCCTGAACCTTGCCGGGGGTGCCTTGGGCCGGGGGGGAGCTAACAGCAAAGTGACGCATAGAAAGCTAGTCCGGAACGTAACTAGTCTGTATCTCTCGCTTGGCCTGCAGCTCGTACAAAGTGGAACCCCTGGGCTAAGCAAACATTGGAATTCTGTCGCGCACCGCAATACATATTGTCAAGGTCAAAGTGGCCGTGGTGCTTAGCACACAGCGCCTCTTCAGCTCTTCATGACGAGGTTTCTGGCTGATTGCGATTTGATTAGGCAATAAGTGGAAGACAATGCCCCAGGTCGGCCGGAAGTAGACTACACTTGCCATTTTGCTGGCAGCGTCCTGTCTGTCTCCTGGCACAACATCATCAGACACATGTTGTTTATGACTCGTGGCAGCCGAGCCGAACCCAACCCCGCAACATGGTCGTTGACTCGTTGTGGAGTGCCACCGGGTGGCCTGTAGAATCCGAGAGAAGTTCTACCAAGCTTCAAACCTAGCCCAGAGAAGCATGGCATAGTAAGGTAGCTAGCGCGCCGGCGTGCTGCATGTGGTCTTGGCACTCCCCATGTGCCGATCCCCATGGCACGCAGGGCATGTTTGTCCAAGACGCAATTCCCGGAGGGCAGGCTCATTTCCCAGACAGGAAGTGCTAGGAAGTGCTAGGAGAGGAGCCCCATTGACCCATTGGCAGCCTCTGACGTCGATCAATGGCTAAGTTTGGCGCACGAACGGCAACTGACGGTGAACTCATGGTTTAAGGTTTTGGCCTGCCGAACGCTCGCCTAGTTAGAGGTAGCGTAGAAAACACGAGTCTTGGCTGCATAATCAGCCGGCATTTGTTTTTCGGATAACCGGCAGTCGAGATAAGGCTCTAAACCTTAAGCTGAGCCGTACAAGTAGTAGTAGTGCATACCAGACATACCCGACGGCAATGTCTCGTCTGGTTAAGGGGGCCGCAGCTGTGAGTGAATTCTCAAGGAACTTTTGTGATGCTTCTGTCTCTACACTTTGACCTAACGTCTTGGGAGTTCTGCAGCTCCCACGTTTAGGTAGTTCGTGGCTCCTAGTGATTCGGACTGGAACCGGGACAGGGACTAAAGCGAACTACGCCATTCGCTCCCTTCATGTGCGAGTATCCTGCCCTCCTAAGGTAGTCTTATTGGTCCAGCCCGCATATTGGCAACAGTCGCAGAGCGATCCATCCAAAATTGTCTGATCAAGTTGTGACCGACCTTCCAAAAGTTCTCAAGTAGAAGCCGTCACCAACTTTCGTGTTTCCAAGTCTGCAAGGTCCCCCCGTCTGCTTCCCCTTCGTCTTCTCCCTCCTCTCTCTCTCTTTCTCTCTCTCTCTTTCTCTCTTTCTCTCTTTCTCTTCATCCCTCCTCGACATCTTTCCACAACCGCGAGACCCTTTCACCATGCGTGCGTCGGCTCATCTCCTGCTTCTTTCTGCTCTCTGGGAGGCAGCGGCATGTGTCAACCTTCGTAAGATTGAGTTTGACATCCTGCGCTCCTCGCGGCCGTCTCTCTTCCTCTTCACAGCAACCGGTTGTAAGGAATGTGATCGCATCCAAGGCTTGCTGGACGAGGTGGCATCTGGGGTCCTTCGTACCATTCCCATTGCCACAATCAACTGCCGCGACGAGCCAGAGGCATGTGATGAGTCTCAAATATTTGCCGTACCAATGTTGAAGTTTACAACTGGCAATGGGGACTTGGTCACATACAAGGAGGCTGTAGATCTGCCTGCGTAAGGCGTTTCCTGTCCAGAAGGTATCCCGTTATATACGCGCTGACAATTCGTGGTAGGATCGTCCGATACATCGAGAGACAGTCGGGCTCCCCAGTCACCAATCTGACCGAGGGCGATCACCTTGACTTTGCAGCATCATCTAGAGTAGCCGTTATCGCTTTTCTCAGCACGTCAGCCAGCCAAGAAGACCGCCAGGCCTTTGAGACTGTCGCCGGCAAGTGGCGGACGCATTTCAGCTTCGGCTCTGTCCAAGGCGGTCATGACGCTGACCCTTTTATCGCTGTCCATTCTCGTGACAGGGACGATATTATGCACTACCGCGGAAAGTTCAATGCGGATGACATTGAGGCCTTTCTTCGAGATGCAACCACGCCCCTGGTTCATGAATTTGACCCACTTGTTCACCAAGAACTCACCAAGGTATGATTGCATAGTCTTAACTGCCATTCAACTCATCTTGTACTTTGCTAAGCTTTTTTCAGGATAGTAAGCCGCTTGCTCAGATCTTCTTGAAGCAAGGCATTGATCGGGACAAGATAGCCAAGTCTTTGGCCCCCTTAGCCAAGAAGTTCAGAGATCAGATAAACTGGGTCACGGTTCGAGTGCCAGATTATCATGGCCAGCTCGAGAGAATGCACCTCGACAAGGACATCGAGCAAGGATTTGCGGTTGCAGACGCTCTGGGTCGCGCATATCCCATGTCTTCCCCACAAGTCAATGCCGACGAGGTCGCCAGACACATTAAGGCGTACCTTGCGGGAACCATTACCCCGACCATCAAGTCAGAAGTAATACCTGAGCCATCCGAGGAGCTGGCGTTCTTAACTACCCTGGTCGGTAGCAACTTTGATAACATTGCTTTTGATAAATCTCGGGATGTTCTCATCGAATTCTACGTGCCATGGTCTGAATACTGCCAAGAGTAAGTCAAAATCCCACCGCCCCCAAGCAGTGCACTTAGTATTCCGCCTTCTTCACTATATATAGCTGACTGGTCATCCAAGCCTACTCAGGGTGATGAACCACCTTAGCTCCAAGTACGTAGAGTCCGGGCTCTCTGATAAGATTACCGTAGCAGCGATCAATGTCGAGGCCAATGATGTGCCGATCCATATCGACAGCTACCCTTCACTGAAGCTTTATCGCGCGGGCACAAATGAAGTTGTGTCCTTTGTAGGCGATTTCCACCAGATGTTGACACCGGAGCTGCTGGATGCTTTCGTTTCAAGCCAGGGGAAGCACGGTGTCAGTGCGTTCGGAAAAGACACAACAGACCGTCATGAGGAGCTGTAAGACAGGCTTGAAGACTACTAAAACTGTATACAAGTGGCGGAGTAGCTTTATTTGACAGCTGAATATGTATTTTGTCGGACAAAAAACAAAAAGAACCGGTCCAGGATAAGGCAGCGAGCACGCTAGAATACAAGAACCTTAAAAGATAAGATCCAATGGCCTTTCTCTGGCGCACATGATTGCTGATTCGAAGCCCTCCTCCCCCTTATCCCAATGTCCCTTAACCCCAACTCCGGTTAATCATTCCTTGGCTATCTTGCGGCGCCTAAGCTTGCACAGTCGTCTCTGCTACACTTGATCCAACGACCGTAGAGTGATATGGTGAACTCTTTAAACATTTGCCTGAAAGTGATTCATATTGTGAAATTCAAGGTATTAACATTAGCAGCTCTACAAGCCAGATACCATTCTTTCCACATTGCTAGGAAATCACGCTTAACAAGATGCTAATTATTAAAGTAAGTATTTCTAATAGTTAGATAGGTAAGTTTAAAAGTTTTATTTACAGTTAAGGCTTGTGGCTAAGAGCTTAAGTTATTAGACAGAACTTAGTGTATTTAAAAGTATACTCTTTAAAAGATAGCTACTTACTTCTTATACAGTTTAGGCAATACTTTATCTTTATAAAGAGTTAAAATTAGTTAAGGCTAGGTTAATACTTATTTTACCTTTAGTAACTTAAACCTTACTAAGATTTAGTACTTCTATTTTCTTATATAGTAGCTTAACTATTTTATATTTTTACTTTATATGTTAAATAGTATTAATACTTTTTTTAAGTAAATAATTTTAAAACTTTAATTATTAAAAAGTATATTTAGCTAAGTTATAATATTTAATAAAATTCTTATTTAATAATTT